GCACAAGGGATAGGGACCCAACAGCAGCCAAAAGGCAGCCCTGCGCTGGAACTCAAGTCTTATCAATTTGGTCAACTTTTACTCTATGCCAAGCAAGGTTAGAGTGACAAATGTATGGCTCAAGAGTTGTGCCTGTCCACAAACGTGTTAGCTTCAGTCCATACAGTGTATTCGTTTTTCACTTAGTTGCCAACATTTTTAAGTTGAGAGATTTCCCATGGAAATCAGATCTGGCATCACCAGGCCACACTTCCCACAGGCCTCCCTTCAGTGAGAGACTGGATAGCAGATGCCGTCTTGAGATGGGACAGGCGCCCTCCTGAGCTCCTCCCCTCTCCTCCCCCCTCCCTCACTTCTTCCTTTTCCTGCCTTGCTTTCCCAGGCCGTTGCACATACTACCCAGTAGCAGGCGCCCTGTTGCCCTGAGTATGAAAAGACATATAAGACTCAGCCTTCAAGGAGTGTAGTATCTGGGCATGCGGAATAGGGTTTTAGAATGGGGTGAGTTTTGGGGGCCAGGGTTCAGATCCTGCATGCAGACATGGCACGGCTCAGTAGGCCTTGTTGAGGTGACGTCCCACATGCCACAACTGGAAGGACCCACAACTAAAATATACAACTATGTACGGGGGGGGGGGGGGGCGTGTGTGTAGAGATTTGGGGAGAAAAAAAAGAAGACTGGCAACAGTTGTTAGCTCAGGTGCCAATCTTTAAAAAAAAGGGGGGGGGGGTGACAGAAATAAAACCACACATCTATGGACAGCTTATCTTTGACAAAGGAGCTGAGGGCATACAATGGAGAAAAGAAAGTCTTTTCAACAAATGGTGCTGGGAAAACTGGAAAGCCACATGTAAAAGAATGAAAATTGACCATTCTTTTTCACCATTCACCAAAATAAACTCAAAATGGATCAAAGACCTAAAGGTGAGACCTGAAACCATAAGGCTTCTGGAAGAAAACGTAGGCAGTACACTTTTTGACATCAGTATTAAAAGGATCTTTTCGGACACCATGCCTTCTCAGAGAAGGGAAACAATAGAAAGAATAAATAAATGGGACTTCATCAGACTAAAGAGCTTCTTCAAGGCAAATGAAAACAGGATTGAAACAAAAAAACAACCCACTAACTGGGAAAAAATATTTGCAAGTCATATATCTGACAAAGGCTTAATATCCAGAATATATAAAGAACTCTCGCAACTCAACAACAAAACATCAAACAACCCAATCAAAAAATGGGCTGGAGACATGAACAGACATTTCTCCAAAGAAGATATACTGATGGCCAATAGGCACATGAAAAGATGCTCATCATCGCTGATCATCAGGGAAACGCAAATCAAAACTACACTAAGATATCACCTTACACCCGTTAGAATGACAAAAATATCCAAAACTAATAGTAACAAATGTTGGAGAGGTTGCGGAGAAAAAGGAACCCTCATACACTGCTGGTGGGAATGCAAACTGGTGCAGCCACTATGGAAAACAGTATGGAGATTCCTCAAAAAATTAAAAATAGAACTACCATACGATCCAGCCATCCCACTACTGGGTATTTATCCAAAGAGCTTGAAGTCAGCAATCCCAAAAGTCCTATGCACCCCAATGTTTATTGCAGCATTATTTACAATAGCCAAGACATGGAAGCAACCTAAGTGCCCAGCAACAGACGAATGGATAAAGAAGATGTGGTACAGGGGCTGGCCCCGTGGCCGAGTGGTTAAGTTCACGCGCTCCGCTGCAGGCGGCCCAGTGTTTCATTGGTTCAAATCCTGGGCGCGGACATGGCACTGCTCATCAAACCACGCTGAGGCAGCGTCCCACATGCCGCAACTAGAAGGACCCACAACGAAGAATATACAACTATGTACCTGGGGGCTTTGGGGAGAAAAAGGAAAAAAATAAAATCTTAAGTTAAAAAAAAAAAGGATGTGGTACATATATACAATGGAATACTACTCAGCTGTAAAACAAAACAAAATCATTCCATTTGCAATAAGATGGATGGACCTTGAGGGAATTATGTTAAGTGAAATAAGCCAGCGAGAGAAGGATAATCTGTGTATGACTCCACTCATATGAGGAATTTAAAATTATGGCCTAAGAACAGTTTAGTGGATACCAGGGGAAAGGTGGGGTGGGGGGTGGGCACAAAGGGTGAAGGGGTGCACCTACAACATGACTGACAAACATTAATGTACGACTGAAATTTCACAAGATTGTAACCTATCATTAACTCAATAAAAAAATAAAATAAAAAGGGGGGGGTGAGTTTAGGGGTGGGGGAGGCATTTCATGGAACAACACGAGCTTCAAAGACGGAGGCAGGACAATACAATAGGACCATAGGGATAACAGCTGCGGCCACTGGCTACCTCTGAAGTGGGCAGGTCCATCGTCGGGAACGCAGCCCACCCAGCAGAGGAGGGGCCAGATCGCTTAGTAACTCACAAGGCCCTGAGAATTGGATCAGCGGGAAGTGGAACAGAAAGTGCTAGGCTTTGGAATCCCACAGACCCCTGTTCGAGTCCTGGCTTATGCACGAGTCGCTCCCATTCCCGGGCCTCCGTTAAACTGGGATAGTCATCACGGCGTTACGGCACCGGGGTGAGGATTAAAGGAGAGCGTGTGCGGAAAGCGTCTGCACGACGCTCGGCACACAGGAGGGACTCCGCAGTCGACAGCTCCCGACCCGACCACAGCTGGCACGTAGCATGCGCGAAATGAACCTTCGGGGGCCAGGTTCTGGAACGACTGAGATGCGCCGGGAGTCGGTGATGCGGAAAATGGGGCCGCGCGCCGCTCCCGACCTCGGCCTCGGCCTCGCGCACCCCACGGGCGGCGTCGCAGCGGCGCGCACGCGCACACCGGGGCCAAGCCTCGGAGCATGCGCCCACCAGGATGGGGCGGGGGACAACTGAACGCAGCAGCTGCGCGTGCGCAGAAGGCCCGGCGGGCGATGAGCGCAGCAGCGCGTGCGCATAAGGCTTGGCGGGCACGCTGCATGAGCCGAGGAGCCGGCGAGCAGCGAGGCGACTTCTCCAGCACGGCTTCGTGCGAGGCCTGCGCCCGCCCTCCTCAGAGAGCGGTTCTCAGTCGGGCCTCCGGCCGCGGCCCCTTTAGGAGGCGCGGAGACCCCTCAGTCAGTGTGTGAGACAGCCTGGCCGAGCCCGGGAGTCCCTGGGTCTGAGGTAACGGCCAGCAGCGGCTGGTGCCCCGGGAGGTTGGCTCCTCGTTGCCTTTATTTTCTGAGAGAGCGTTCTGGCCCGGCCGCGACCTCCGCGGCTGCCCCCAGGGCACGCGGCCCCGTGGGGCTGTTGGCGCGGGTCACAGGCGTCCGTGGGCCTTGGCCGGCGCAGGGCCGAGAAGCGCGTCTCCCGCCGCAGGGGCCGTCAGCTGCCTCGGGCGGAAGTCGGGCTTCGGGGGGGCCCCGCCCCGCCCGCGGCCTCTTTACAAGAACGTCTCCCAGTGACGAAGGCGTTCCTGCCCTTCTGTCACCCCGCCCCCCTCGCCCCGGCCCGGCAGAGCAGCGCCACGGGCCGACCCCTTCCGTGGACGCGTGCCGTCGCGCACGCTTTGGTGACGTCAGTGCGTTTCCGGCTCTCGCGTGCCTCGTGGAACCCGGAAGTGAGCGGGGGAGTCGCGGCCCTCGGTGCCGTCTGCGCTCAACGCAGCACGTGCTTCCGTCCTCGCTTCCGGGAAAGCGGCTTAAGCGGCGCTTTTATCGCTACAGTTCGTTGTTCAAGCAACTAGGCGTCATCCTGGGTGTCCCCCTCCCGCACCCCATCGAGTCACCAAATCGTGGCTGGCCATCTCCCGAGCCAGTCCGCTTCTCTTCGTCTCCGCTTGGACCACTGTACGCCCTGCCTCTGTCTGCTTCTGCCTGGAACCGCAGGAGTCTCCTCGCTGGTCCTCTTCCGTCTGCTCTTCTTCCGGCTCATTTCCCACGTGACGACCGAAAGGGTTTTCCTTTAGCTCCCAGCCGTGGGGTCGCACCCCTTCTCTCTGATGCCCTTCGCGGCCTGCCTGTTGCTCGTAGGGTGGACTCCACGGTCCGTCACCTGGCCTGTGAGGGAGGTCCTCTCCCCTTCTCCGCCTGTACTTTCTCCCTGGATCGTCTCATCTGTTCCAGGAGCAGCAGATACTATCTGAATGCTGGTGACTCCAGTTTATGTTCCATCCGGATTTCCGTCCCTTGCACACTAGGACACCGACCCCTCTGCATACCCGCTGGGGTGTCGAACAGGCCTCTCAGACTTAACCAGAATAGAACCACTGGCTTTTCTCCACAAACCTCTTTCCCTGGAATCCTTCCCCATCTCGGTAAAGGGTATGTCCCATTATCCACCTAATAGCAAAGGCCAAAATCGGAGAGCCATCCTCGATTCCCACATCCAGTCTGGCAGTCTAAAATACACCTCAAATTGGGGCTGGCCTGGTGGCATAGTGGTTAAGTTCCCTCGCTCCACTGTGGTGGCCCGGGGTTCGGATCCTGGGCGCAGACCTACACACCGCTCATCAAGCGACACTGAGGTGGCGTACTGCATAGCACTAGAAGGATGTACAACTAGGATATACAACTATGTGCTGGGGCTTTGGGGAGAAAAAGAAAGAGGAAGATTGATGACAGATGTTAGCTCAGGGCCAATCTTCCTCACCAAAAAAAAAGATAATCTATTCACTAATTACTGAAATCCCAAAGTCCAAATCAGCGGCCTCTTTCTCCCGGACTACTGCAAAAGATTCCTAACTGATCTCCCTGCTTCTACTCTTGTCCTCTTAGTGTTCATCTTCCTCTCCGCAGCTGGAATGATATTTCTTTTATTCTTTGAAGATTTTATTTTTCGTTTTTCTCCCCCAAGCCCCCCAGTACATAGTTGTATATATTTTAGTTGTGGGTCCTTCTAGTTGTGGTATATGGGATGCTGCCTCGGCATGGCCTGATGAGCAGTGCGGTGTCCACGCCCAGGATTCGAACCTGTGAAACCCTGGGCTGCCAAAGCAGAGCGTGCTCACTTAACCACTCAGCCACGAGGCTGGCCCCTGGAGTGATATTTCTGAAGCATGAGTCAAATCATTTCACTCCTCTTTATACAACCGTTAGCATAAAATCTGAACTCTCCACAATGACCTACAGGCCTTACCTGATCTGGCTGCTGCCTGTCTCTCTGACTTCATCTCCCTCTGCTCTGTCTTCATTCTCTACGTCCCAGTCACACTGACCTTTCTGTCCATCACAGGGCATCGATGCTTGCTGGTTTTGTCTGCTTGGAGTGCTTTTCTCCTTGACTTTACGTGGTTTTTTCACTTTCCATTAAGGCCTTGACTCAGTTGTGATCTTTTCTGAAAGGTCTTTGCTGGCCACACTAGCTAAGTAGCCTCCCAGTCACTCTCTACTACAAAACCCTATTTTGTTTTCTTCATAGTACTTAGAATACTTCAAATTACATTTATTTATTTATACATTTATTATTGCTCTCCACGCCTCCTGAAATGTAAGCCCTTAAAGACAAGGAATCATATCTCTCTTATCATGCATTCTGTCAGTGCTCAGAACACTGCTCGACACATAGTAGGCTTGCAAATGTGTGCTGACTGACTCACTGCTTGTCTCAGTAGTCTTATCTCATAGCACTGTTCTTGCCCACTGTGTTCCAGGTTATATACTTCTCTGTTTTGAAAGTGCCATCCTCTCTCCTGAGGTCTCTTGCATCTGCTGTTTCCTAAACCCACCCCAGACCCCACACCCACTTGCCATTTATCCTTCAGATATGAGTCACTTACTTAGAGATGACTTCCCTGACCTCCATTCTAGGTTAGGATTCCCTTCCCATATCACCTTATCCTTTTTCATAGCAGTCATCACATTGAAAATTATTTGTAAGCTCTTTGCAGGTAGGGACCAAGTTCTATTCTTCCCTCATTTTATCTCCAGCATTTAATGTCTGGGACATAGTAGGCATGCAAATATTTGTGAGCTGAATGAATGACTGTTGAGTGAATGCAAGATTGAGAGGATCAAATTATATAAAAATTAGGAGAGCAATTGGCATCGAGTGTAGGTTAGCTGAATCTGCCCTCCCTACTTCATAGAAGTTTTTGGATCTTGTGAGTTAGGGATAGGAAAGCATTATAGAAACTGAAAGTGCTTTATAAATATGAGAATTATTTTTCTTTTTTTGCTAAGGCCTATTCACCATCAGATCCTTATGGTTTGATGATCTTTCAAAGTATAAAGCTTTATGTTTCTTAGCAATAATGCCTGATTCTGTTATTTTAGAGCTAGTTTAGGTGGTAAAATATAAAGAATTGAGGCTAATGTTGAGGCCAGATTATAAGGTAGCTACATTCTTGACACTCTTCGTTCAACTGGACCATCTTTCTTTAGCAATACATGTGAGTTTTAATCTTGCCGCCGATGTGTGACCTTGGCCAAATTAGATGATCTCCTCAAGTCAGGTATATCTTGGTAAACCTAGTGAATATAATTCCTGTCTCCCCAATATCTCGCCAGAATCGGATTAAAGTTAGTAAAATATTTCAAATTTCCTGTGTGAAATTTGCTCCCTTTATATAAAAGGTAATTTCGTTTTCTTATTAATTTAATTTCTTCAGAGCCTGCCATTGTTTCATGCCAAGAACAAAGCTGTGTATTTTAGAAGCTTTCTTTTCACATTTTCCTGTATCTGTCTTGTGTCACTCAGACCCTCGAGATGTGTACATCAAGGACTCAGAGTTTATAGCTCAAAGTTGTAAAAGATGTTCGTTCCTTTTTCTCTTGCTAAGGATATTCTGTCCACCACTTGCCTTTCTGGAACTATTGATCCTTTTTTTTTTCATTTTTAATCTTCTCACTTAGATGTACTGCTTCAGGGCAATTCACCCAATGGTATAACCAAAAACTAAAATGTTCCTCATTGCCTACAGTTTTACATCCAAATGCTTTTTGCGTTCCAGGGGTCGGTAGGATTTTTCGAGTGCTGCAGTGCATTCAATGTGGTGTGTTTGCTAATAGGTTGATAATGTAACAAACCACAGCTAGTGGGCAGGGTGGTGCAATGAGATACCATTCTGTTGCTTTTCCAGAATAAGCACACTCCTCGACCTACTGACCAAAGGTGGTTTTCCCATTAGCTTTTCGAATGGTTAAGATGGGGGTGGAAGAGGCACTTAGGTGCAGAGAATAACTTAAGAGGTTGACTTAGACACCTTTTTTGTCTATTGAGTTGTCTGTGGGGCCTTTTGATTTCATTTCAGGGCATCTTCCTACCTCCCCTACCTCCCCCCGCCCCAAACAAGACAAAATCTGACACAGTTCCAAGGGCAAATCTATTCCTGAACAAATGCCAAAGACATTTTAAAGATTGTGTCTTACCAGAGAGAGTAAGAAGAAAGCTAATGAGAAAGAGAATAGCATCAATAAGCGTGAAAGTATCCTGGGTAGTCTGAGATCAGTCTCTTCATGTCCCATATCTTAACATGTTGCTTTGTTTTGAAAAAGGCTATTTATTGAGTCATCTCTGTGGACAGCACCATGATAAGCAATTGTACGTGCATTATTTCATAACCATCCTAGTCACCCTGCAAGATGAGGAAACTAGAATAGTTCCGTTTGAAAATAGAGCTTGAAGACAAACGTGAATGTAACCCTTTACACCCCAAGACGTGATTCTAAGAACTTTTCCTCAAACTATCTTACTTTTTTGGTTTGATGCCTTTGTACTCAGATTGATTTTGCCTTGAGTCATCCAGAGTTATGAGAGTGACCAGGGTTACAGTTTAGTGAAATGACTGACTGGATGATGTATTTTAATGGAAAATGTCTGGGCCAAAGGAATCAACAGTCTTGGGGGAGCTAAACCTGGTTCCACACTGAGTTTTATGACCTTGTGGAAGTCATTTCCTTCTTTGGTCAAGTCACTTCCTGCTTGTCCTCTCTAAACCGAAGAGCACTTCCAGCTATAGACGACCACGAATCTCTCGTTGGAAATATAGACTCTCAGAGAGTGAATCTACTTCAGCAAAAACAGGCAGACCTCTGAGACCAGCCAAGGACTTTTGAGAGTGGAAGGAGAGCTGGTCATCTGTCTTCAATCTCAGGTCTAAAACTTGGATGTTGGATTCATAGCTTCAGTGGGATTTCCCTATTATGTTACCCATACTCATTAGTGGTTGTAGAGCCTGTCATGTTAGATCTGCTCAGTAAGTCTATTTTGAACAAATGCTTATGAAAGCTCTTTTATTCTTTAACACTGTAGAGGATTTTCCCATCAATATCACCAGAGATGTTTAGTGACAGTACTTCCTTGTTATCATCTCCTTCCACCTCAATAGTGAATATGTATCATTATCTTCATACAGCATTCAGCGCTTCTTCAGGTTCTGTGCACCGACTCAGATGTTTCTTTATGCAAAACAAATTACTAAAACCTTGAAAACTTTCTTTTCCTAACATCAGTGCCTATGTGTCATTTAAATCTAATTATGGGGAATTTTCAAGGAAAGATTCTTGATTGGGATTTGTCGGATTTTGCACTGAGATTAAAACTAATCAGTTTTCCTCTCCTGAATGTGTTTTTCTACTGAAGCATTAAGGGAAACTCTTCAAATCTGTCAAAACAGCTAATGTTTATATAATCCTCTAGAGTTTATGAAGTGATATTTACAGCATTATCTCATTTAATCCCCACAACAATTCCAGGGGTAGGGGGGATCCCCATTTGTATATGTAGAAACTGAGAAGTGAAGAGACTAAGTGACTTGGTCAGGGTCTAATGATTAATAAGAGGCAGAGGTAGGATCAACTCCTTGGTCCTCCAATTCCAAATCTTATGTCTTTCCTACTATTCCATGTTGCCTATAATTTTTCTTCTTTTGTTTTAAAGCCATCATATTTTGTGATCACCTGAAAATGGGTTAAAGTCTGACCCTTCATCTGCCAGATCCCATCAACATAATAATAGTTACTAGGACATAGTGTCACCATGACTGCAGTACTCGTGTTGGAAAATAACCTTGTGAAATCTTTGAACCACTACTATGTGGTTGTTATGGATTATGCTGTCTAATCCTTATTTTCAAATGAGGTAATTAGTGTGTGATGTTTGTTTCTGAAACGGGCAGCCAGCAATTAACAAGAACAGGCCCCAGCAAGAAGAGGACTGTTTTCACTTCTTTCAGACAGCCAGCTGTGGTGCAGCAGATGAAGTTTCTTCTCTGGATCGTCATTTCCAACAAATGTCTTTCATTTCCTTTGCCCTGATGCTCCCAGCCCTCAGTCTGTGGAGAGAAGTGATTGCATTTTAGAAAAACCCTCTGAATAACTGAAAGCTAAATTTTTGTGGCAGCAACCTAAGTCTCACCAGGTGGGCTCCCTGCTACTTAGAGAAGTCATCTAGCACCAAAAACACGTCAGATCTAGCCTGGGTTCCTGCTATGCCTCGGGCATGGAGAATCGGCAAGTCTTTTCTCAGGATATGAACAGTATTTCCCCTCTGGTAACTTTGCAGTTGGCACCGACTCTTTCTTTTCACTTTTGACTGCAGTTCTAGTCTAAATAGTCTCATCAGCTCTGGCTCCAACCTCCTGTCATTCTAATCCCAGGCAGCCGAGATCAGACACTGGGATAGCTCTTTCCTGGCAGCCCCAGAGCTGAACTTGGGAAATTGTGGGAAATTCCATTCTTTGGGCACATAGATTTTTGACTCCACCATACAAGAGTTTTCCCTGCTGATTAGAAATGGTATCAGGGTAAAATGGAGGAAAGACTAATGAAAGTAGTCCTTTATATGTGTATAATATTTTAGTACTTATGAAATGATTTTATATTCATTATCTTGTTTTTTTCTTCCTAATAAGCAGGAAGCAGAGTGGCTAAGTGGTTAAGAGCATCAAGTCTGGATTTATACTGCCTGCGTTTGAATCCCAATTTCAGTATTCATACCTATGAGAAGATTACTTTATCTCAGTGCCTCAGTTTCTTCATCTATCAGATTTAGACTACTTATCTCATAGGCTTGTTGTGAGGGTTAAGTGAGATAATATATATAAGGCTCTTAGAATAGGGCATGACAAAAAGTTGTTGTTGTACAAATTATTGTGCAAATAAGAAAACCAAGACCCAGAGAAACTAAGTAGGGACGTTGGAGCTGAGACTCAAACCTAAGTTATTCTTACTTTGTGCCTGTTCTGTCTATCCCATCTCAGCTGCCTCTGAAATCAAGACCTTGCATTGTATATAGGTAGCTTTGATCCTCAGGAACACTGGAACTCTTACTGTCTTTATTTCTTATTTAAACTTTCATATGAAGAGACAGAAAGCGCAGGATTTATTATTTCTACAAATAAAAAGAGGCATGGAAAAGTCCTAGTGACAGAGAAAATCACAATGTGCTTGATTCTGGTGTGTACCAAATTCCCTTTTGGAGGAGAAGAGACATGCCATCCTTCTTTTTTCATCATTCCCCTTTCCTGAGTTTCCCACAGAGAGGACCTTAAGTGGGCAGAGATTCTGAAATAGGAAAAGTAAAACTAGTAAGTGCTAGAGGGATAGTAGGCACTCTTGTGGCCAGAGCAGTCTCACATGTAGTCAAGAGGGAGAGTGGTTGAGAGTTAGGAAGATAAGGCATTCCTTGGCATCACTGGAAAACAGTGCACACCCTTATTTGCTGCATTGGTTGTGGCAGGGAGGTGTGCTCAGTCCTTAACTTCACCTAAAATTAATAGCGGAGGTCTTCCTAATTGTGCCACTTATTGGTGCATCCTTTAGATTGTTTCATTATTTGACTTTGGCCCTCTTTACTTTGGCCTAGGTTCCAGAGAAAGGGGGGGTCAAAGGAGGAGAATAGATCCAAGAGATATTTGGGGGATAGATTTAATCCTAACAACAAAAAAACCCTGTGAGTCATCAGATGTTAGTATCATTAGTCTCATGGAAGAAAAGTGATTTGCACAAGGTCATAATGTAAATGACAAAACTTGAACTCAGGTCTTTTGACTTCAAGTATAACAATCATCCCAAAACACCATGTGTTCTCCACATGCAGGTAGGAGAATAGTCCGGGTGATTCATATCAGAACTGATCCTGGGACATAGGCAGTGGTCCTGAGTGTTAAACATTTTACTCCTGAAGAGATGCTGCAGGTGGGGCAGCCTCTTTTTCCCATACGCAAGGAGCCATCTTTAGCTTTTTAATAATTCTGTAATATTTCTACTTTATTTAGGCTATCGTTTGGAAGCAATGAGTTTAAAACCCTTCACCTACCCGTTTCCAGAGACGAGGTTTCTTCATGCAGGACCCAATGTGTATAAATTCAAAATCAGATATGGCAACAGCATAAGGTAATTTTAAAACTAGGAGTGTAGCCTTTGCAAACACAGGTTCGTGCATTCCCGCAGGTCATCCCTTCTCTGAAGGGATGGCTGAAGTAGAACCTTGTAGGACTCTCTTTCCCAGGTATTTTATATTCTGTGTATTATTATTCATGTAAGTTTCTAAGTTAGTGGTGGCATACCTTTGGAGCAGTGGTTCTCAAAATTTTTTATCTCAGGACCCCTTTGTACTCTTAAAATTATTGAGGATCCCAAAGAGTTTTTGATTGATTATGTTATACCTGTCAATATTTATCATACAAAAATTAAAACAGAAAAATTAAAATAACACACATTGATTTAAAAATAATATATCATTAAATGTTAACAAATAACATATTTTATTAAAATATCTTTAAAAAAAAATAATGATGGGGCTGGACCCTTGGCCAAGTGGTTAAGTTCATGTGCTCCGCTGCAGGCGGCCCAGTGTTTCGCTGGTTCGAATCCTGGGCGCGGGCATGACACTGGTCATCAAACCACGCTGAGGCAGCGTCCCACATGCCACAACTAGAAGGACCCACAACGAAGAATACACAACTATGTACTGGGGGTCTTTGGGGAGAAAAAGGAAAAATAAAAAAATCTTAAAAAAATATAATAATAATGAGAAGATTGGCATTGTTCACATTGCTGGGATTTACCCCAGAAATGCAAGGATGGTTCAGTATATAAAAATCAATCAATAAAATACATGACATTAGGGGCTGGCCCTGTGGCCGAGTGGTTAAGTTCGCGCGCTCCGCTGCAGGCGGCCCAGTGTTTCGTTGGTTCGAATCCTGGGCGCGGACATGGCACTGCTCATCAGACCACGCTGAGGCAGCGTCCCACATGAACTAGAAGAACCCACAACAAAGAATACACAACTATATACCAGGGGGCGTTGGGGAGAAAAAGGAAAAAATAAAATCTTAAAAAAAAAAAAAAAATACATGACATTAATAGTATGAAGGGAAAAAAACACACGTGTTCATCTCGATGCAGAAAAAGCATTTGACCAAATCCAGCACCCTTTCATGGTAAAAACACTCAGTAAATTAAGAATAGAGGAGAACTTCTTCTACATGATAAAGGCAAGATATGAAAAACCCACAGCTAACATCATACTTAACGGTGAAGAACTTAAAACTTTTCCCTTAAGATCAGGAAGGAGACAAGGATGCCCACTTTCACCACTTCTGTCCAACATAGTACTGGAGTTTTAGCCAGAGCAATTAATCAAGAAAAAGAAATAAAACGCATACAAATGGAGAGGAAGTGAAACTATCTCTATTTGCAGATGACATGATCTTATATGTAGAAAACCCTAAAGAATCTGCAAAAGAACTGTTAGGGCTGATCAATGAATTCAGCAAAGTTGCAGGATACAAAATCAACATGCAAAAATCAGTTGTATTTGTATACATTGGCAACAAACAATCTGAAAAGAAAAATTCGATTTACAATAGCATCCAAAAGAAAAGAGTGCTTAGCGATAAATTTAACCAAGGAGGCGCAAGACTTGCACACTGAAACCTGCAAAAAATTGCTGAAAGAAATTGAAAGCCTGGTGGCATAGTTGTTAAGTTCAAGCACTCGGCTTCTGTGGCCCAGGGTTCATGGGTTCAGATGCCAGGCATGGACCTACACACCACTCATCAAGCCATGCTGTGGTGGCATCCCACATACAAAACAGGAATATTAGCACAGATGTTAGTGACAATATTCCTCAAGCCAAAAAAATTAAAAAGAGGGGTGTAGTGGTTGAGTTCGCTCCACTCTGCTCTGCTTTGGTGGCCTGGTGTTTGCGGGTTCAGATCCTGAGCGCAGACCTAGCAGCACTTATCAAGCCACTCTATGGCAGCATCCCACATAAAATAGAGGAAGATTGGCACAGATGTTAGCTCAGCAACAATCTTCCTAAGCAAAAAGGGGAAGATTGGCAATACATGTTAGCTCAGGGCCAGTCTTCCTCACAGAAAAAAAAAAAAAGGAAGATTGGTAATAGATGTCAGCTCAGGGCCAATCTTTCTCCAAAAAAAAAAAAAAGAAAAGAAAAGAAAAAGTAAAGAAGACCTAAATAAATAGACATCCTGTGTTCACGTTTTGAAAGACTTAGTATCCTTAAGATGGCAACAGTACTCAAAGCAATCTACAGATTTAATGCAATCCCTATCAAAATCCTGAAGGCATTTTTTACAAAAATGGACAAACTTATCCTAAAATTTATATGGAATTTCAGGGGACCCTGAATTGCCAAAACAATCTTGAAAAAGAACAAAGTTGGAGGACTCACTTCCCAATTTAAAAAGTTACTACAAAGCTACAAGTAATCAGAAAGTGTGGTGCTGGCATCAGGACAGACATATAGACCAATTGAATAGAATTGAGAGCCCAGAAATAAACCCTTACATCTATGGCCAATTTATTTTCAACTAGAATGCCAAGACCATTCAATGGGGAAAGAATAGTCTCTTTAACAAATGGTTCTGAGAAGACACCAAAAGCACAGTCAAGAAGATAAATTAGATAAGTTGGACTTCATTAAATTTTTTTAATTGTGCATCAAAGGACACTATCAACAGAGTGAAAAGGCAACCCACAAATGGAAGAAAATATTTGCAAATCATATATCTAATAAGAGTTTAATATCCAGAATATATAAAGAACTACAATTCAACAACAAAAAGATAAACAACCCAATTAAAAAGTGGACAAAGGACTTGAATAGACATTTCTCCAAAGAAGATAAACAAGTGGCCAGTAAGCACATGAAAAGAGGCTCAATATCATTAGTCACTAGGGAAATGCAAATCAAAACCACAATGAGATACCCCACTTCACAACCCTACTAGGATGGCTATAATAAAAACAGAAAATAACAGATGTTGGCAAGGATGTGGAGAAATTGGACCCCTCATCCATTGCTGGTGGAAGTATAAAATGATACAGCCGCTATGGAAAACAGTTTGGCAGTTCCTCAAAAAGTTAAACATAGAATTAGCATATGACCCAGCAATTTCCTTCCTAAGTATATGTCCAAAAGAACTGAAAACAGGGCCTCAAACTTGCTTATACGACACTGTGCATGGCAGCATTATTCACAATAGCCAGAAGGTAGAAACAACCCAAGTGCCCATCAATAGGGGAATGGGTAGACAAAATGTGGTTATATGTGTGGTATAAACATATACACAATGTAATATTATTTAGCCATAAAAGGAAATTGCAAAAGGAATGAAGTTCTGTTACATGTACAACATGGATGAACCTTGAAAATATTATGCTAAGTGAAATAATCCAGTAAAAGGATAAATTTTGTATGATTCTACTTGTATGAACATTAGAACAGGAAAATTCATAGAGACAGAAAGCAGATTAGAGGTCACTAGGACCTGGGTTGGAGGAGGGAATGGGGAGTTATTGCTTAATGAGCACAGTGTTTGTGTCTCGGGAGATAAGCTTTGGAAATAGATGGTGGTGGTGGTTGCACACTGTGATTATGAATGTAATTAATATCGCTGAATTGCATCCTAAAAATGATTAAAATGACAAATTTTAGGTTATATATAATTTGCCACAATTTTAAAATATATTAATTTAAAAGTAATAATATATCCATTAAGCGTTAACACATTTTTATTAAAAATAACTACATTTTCCAAAACAAAAAAATTAATGAGAAGATTGGCATCGTTTTAAGTTTCTGCAAATCCCCTTAATGTTTGGCTTAATAGCAGACTGCTAGATTATCATATCTGCTCCTGCATTCAGTCTGTTGTGAGTTTCTTTTTGATTGAGTTATATGAAAAAAATCCAGCCTCACGTGGATTTGGAGTTGGGAGAGGCAGGAATATATCAATAGCCTTCTCAGGTCATTGTGGTCATATTCTTCTCAGGTCATATTCTTCTTTGACTCTCATCAAAACTTGACAAGTGGTAGTTGTTTTGTTTTTTGGTTTTTTTTGAACGTGGTAGTTTTTTAAAGGTTAGTTGCAATCTGACATCTGAAATTACATCAGCGAACTTTTTGAACTCTGCTACATTAAAAACCATTGGTCTAGCTTGTTCTTTGAATGACTCGTTTACCTACGATGATTTTGTAACATGATAACATTTCATTGGTCATTTGGAAAATATTGGTCCACTGACTTACGCAGATTGTCCCGAATGTTGACACATTTCATTAAACAAGATCAAAAAGCCATATTTACTAATATTACTACCTACAAATCTTACCAGAAAAATGTTGAACTATTTGGAAGCTGTCAACCTCACAGTGGTGGTTAGAAGTTTCCAAAATTGAGATTTTTGCTTGAAATTCCAAAATTTATCATTGACAACAAATACTGTCAGTTGTTTTACTTGAAGTGATAAGCTCACTGTTCATTGTTGAGAAAATGTCACATTCCCAGGTCTGAATAACAATCAACTGATGGTTCAGGTAAAATACCATTCCGTGAAAAGAGCTGCTAGTTCAGTTTGCAGCTTAAACATTCATGCAAGTACTTTTTCTCAAGACAACCATCATATTTTCATATGCAGAAGTGCTTTATGCATACTTCCCATTTTATCACATGATATATTAAAAAGACATATATTCAAGTGTTGAGATTTTATAAAATTATTAGTTTTCTACTGCTTCCTCTAGGATGGTAAAGGAAACTGGATTTTTTTCCTGTGCAGCTGTAGAGATTACTACAACTGCTAGCACAGGTTAGTGCAAATGGCTAGATTTGTGCTAAGGCACCAGGAATTTTGCCCACCATTGCTTTTGCCCTAATGGTTACAAATGTTAGCACAATGAAAAAGACAAACATCTTGATATTATTATGAAAATAGTTTTGCCCTTGGAGTCCCCTTGCAAGGGTCTGGAGGACCCCTAGGAGTCCACAGACTATATTGGAGTACAACTGATCTGACAAACTATTAACTTTCACAGTGGGAATTGCAGGTCTTGGGAGATCAACGGAGAAGATAGTTTGGTAGGGCCTTGTACTCACTCTCCAACCACACCGCCTAGGTGATTGCTTCTCCCACGAGCACTGGGTCAGCACGTGCAAGTGTTATTTACTCACATTCTTCTTTTTTTTAAAGGTTTTATTTTTCCTTTTTCTCCCCAAAGCCCCCCAGTACCTAGTTGTATATGTTTTAGTTGTTGGTCCTTCTACTTGTGGTACGTGGGACGCCACCTCAGCGTGGCGTGATGAGCAGTGCCATGTCCGAGCCCAGGATTCGAACCGGCGAAACCCTGGGCCGCCGAAGCGGAGTGCGTGAACTTAACCACTCTGCCACGGGGCCGGCCCCCTAGTCTCATTCTTTAGCTCAGTGGAAGTGTCATTTTTGCTCTACTGACAGTAGAGTCTGCTGTCTCCAGAGCTTTCCTTTTTGGCTTACTTATCTCTTGTCTGTTTACCTTCTAGAGGGGAAGAGATACAAGATAAGGAAGTCATCGTCCAGGAGCTGGAGGTAGGAAGCAGACATCGTCTGGGAAAGTTATTCTTTAAGCAGAGGATGTATCCATATTCAGGTTTTAATTATTTCCTACAAACTGAGTCACAACCTCCACTTGATTACTCGGCTTCTCCCTGCCGCATTTCCTCTGCAAAGAAACTACTGTTTTTCCAGGGAAATTAAAGCCTGTATCCTTTCTCAGTTCTCTTACTTGAAGTGTCAGCACCTTTGAGGCTGAGAGTTATTTTGTTTCCACCAGAGTTGCCAGCCATGAGCAGCTCTCTTTTGTGGCAGCTGGCATAGAGAAAGCTTCCGGAGGACTGCTGCCTTCCAAGGCTCTGGGAAACCCTGCCGCCTTCCAGGGCTCTGGGAAACCTCACCATCCCAACCGCTGCCTGGTACTTGACGTTCAGGAAACTCAACTGTAAATACACAGACAAGGCTGCTGTGTCTGCATTCTAATTGGAAACATTTGCAGTTGCTTTAGTCCCACTTCATTTTCAACCCTTTTCTACCCACCTCCTCTAGCTTTCGGTCCTCCGACAAGAAGACTGAGCAGGTGGACAGCTTTGTAAATTGGTGAAAGCATTGGGCAAGGAGTTAGAATTCTGGGGGCTAGCCCTGGATTCCAGTCCTGGCTGAGCCATTAATTTGCTATGTGACCCTAGGCAAATCATTTATCTCTCTGGGTCTTAATTGCGTCGTTTGTAAAATGAGAATTTTAAACTAGTTGATTCTCTTCTAACTTTACAACTCGGTGATTTATGACTATTGTGATTTATGAAGATATATGCTGCCATATTTCAAAGAATTCAAATACAATTAAAATACATAAACCCAAACTATGAAACCAGAAATTTGAGTCATAGCCTGAAAGGTACCTGTGGCTCTTTAGGTAAGTGTTAAAAGATACATTAGGATCTTGCAGGACCTTGGAGACATCAGAAATAACAATTATTTTAATATAGGACCATGACAATTTTCTGCTTATTTTAATTATGAGTAGAGCAGAATTTGTTTCACTTTGTATCAGTTAATTTGGGCAGAGAAAAGCTCAAGGCACCATAGTAAAGTGCAGAGAGCATAGACTTTAGAGGCAGTCAGACCTAGATTTGAATTCTGGTTCTGCCTTCACAGTGCGACTTTGGGCAACTTGCCTACCTTCTCTGAGTCTGTTTCCTTACCTGTCATTGAGGTTGATAAATAAGACCTGTTTTCAAGATTGTGGTAAGGATTAGAAATAGATGTGTTCAACGCCTGGCGCACAGTAGCTCAATGAATGATAGCTAGAGAGCATTTGTATACATTTATAATCATATTAAAGTTTTCAAAGCACTTTTTATACCTTGTCTTTCTCCTACTCTCATTATTTTTGAGGCAGATGTTATCATCCTCTTTCATTCATCTAGAAAACACGTACTGATAGGCAGTATAGCTGAATGGTTACGAGGGTGAACTCTGGAACCCCACTGCCTGGGTTCATATCTTGGCTCCACTATTACTAACTGTGTAATCTTGAATAAGTTTTTTTACTTCTTTTTGTCTCAGTTTCCTCATCTGTAAAATGGGGATAATAGAAGTGTCTATCTCATAGGGTTTTTTGTTGTTAGTGCCATTGAGTGGATTCCGACTCCTAGTGACCCTGTGTACAGCCAGGTGAACCCTGCCCGGTCTTTTTGTGCCATCCTCTTACCTTCAGGCGCTGTATCAGACGATGCTCTGCTGCTGTTCCCTGGGTTTTCATGGCCGGTTTTCTCAGAAGTGGGTGGCCAGGTCTGTCTTCCTAGTCTGTCTTAGTCCAGAAACTCCTCTGAAACCTGTCCACTATGGGTGACCCTGCTGGAATTTGAAATACTGGCAGCATAGCTTTCAGCATCACAGCAACACGCAGCCATGACAATATGGCAGTCGACAGACTGGTAGTGTGGTTCTCTGACTGGGAAACAAACCTGGGTTGCGGTTGTGAGAGCGCTGAATCTTACCACTAGACCACCAGGGCTGGCTCATAGGGGTTTTGTAAGTATTAAATTAATGTGTATAAAACCAGTAACACTAGCTATAGTGGTTACTCAATAAATATTAGCTATTAAAATTACGAGCTAGATACTGTGCTAGTACAGGGAATACAAAGATAAGTAAGACACAGTTGCTGCCTTCTGTGAGCCTAAATATGAGGAAAATAAGGCTTAGAGAGAGAAAAATGACAAAGCTAAGGCTGAATTCAGGGTTTTTCCCCCCATAGAGATCTAGTAGTCTTTTTATGATCCCAAATTGTTTCATTACTGTATACTAATAGGCATAGGTTAATTAGAGACTAATCAAGATTTTAATAGTAGAATAAAAGATTTGACTTATGCAAAAGCAAAATAACTATTTGTCAATAAGTACCAGTGCTATTCATTATTCAATATATGTTATTGAGGACCTGTTATGCGTCCTCTCTGGTGGACACTATCGAAGGGATGCTAAAATAAATCAGGTATATATTCTACCTCAAGGAGATTTCTCAGTAAGGAGAATAAAACGTGTGCATGGAATGTAGTAAAGACCCGAGGCTAACTGCTGTGAAGTTTGAGACTAAGAGTTCATTACAACTTGGGGAATCAGGGAAAACCTTCTGGAGGAGACGGCTTTTGAACTGTACCTTACAGGATAGGTAGGATTTGGACATATGCTGATGGGTGGAAAGGGCATTTCAGGCAGAGGGAGCAGGCTGTGCGAGAGCATAGAAATGGAGAAACAGAAGTCATTTCAGGGAACAGCAAATAGTTCAGCTTTACTAGTATGTAGGGTATGTGAAAAGCAGTGACAAGTATAAATGGAAAGGTAGGCTGAGACTAGACAGTATTAAAGTCACTTCAAATATTTTTTCCAGGATTCTATTCGTGTGGTCTTAGGAAACTTGGACAATTTGCAGCCATTTGCTACAGAACACTTCGTTGTATTTCCTTGTATCCTTTCATTTCCAAATGGAAATGAGCTACAGCTCACATCGTAGATTCAAATGGAAGCAGCAAACCCATAGGCAGTTTGGAGGGTAGGTCAGGAAAAGAAGAAAGGGTCTTATGCCTAAAATAGTCCTTGGGGATTTGTACTGACTTCTTTCCTCACTCCTTAGCACCTTTTCCCAGATAAAAGCAGATGGGAGAGAGTGGCCCACCTGAAATTCAAACATGGGGAAATCGTCTTGGTCCCCTATCCATTTGTTTTCACTCTGTATGTGGAGATGAAATGGATTCATGAAGACTTGTCGCCTGGTAAGTAGAATGATGGAAGTTTGGATGTGGAAAAGAAAAAGGGGAAGATTGAATGTTTAAGAGTTAGCAATGCAAGCTGAGTATGGCAAGATGGTCCGCCAGCCTGGGCCCCCACACTGAACAGTGCAGAGGTCAGGAGCAAGCGCCAAGCCAGACTGCCTGGTTCAAATCCTGGTGACTTCGCCGCTTAATAGCTGTGTGACCTTAGATTAATTCCTGCTTAATCTTTCTGTGCCTCCTTTGTGAAATGGTGGAAAGTAATAATAGTACCTATCTCACTCAGTTGTTAAAAGGCTTAAATTTATAAGTATTGGTAGATGGAAAGCACAAAGTCTGACACTGAATAATCACACAATGAAAGAGACCTGTTATAGAAATACTTCCTTCCTCTTAGAGTATTCAATGACTTTCACCTTAGTCGTGTCTTAAGCGCATCCCTCAATCTCCCAATTTTTAATATCTGAGGACCATCACTATTTTTACTCAGAGGGACAAGTAGACACCTGCCAGTTTAATTTTTAAAAGGGTGCAAAGGCCTTGCGTCAAAATATCTCCCCAATTCACTTGTCACACATGCCGGAAGTTCCACTTTTTTTCTTTTGTAGTAGGGTCCTCCCTCTTTTTTTCTTTTCTCTTTTTTTTTTGAGGAAGATTAGCCCTGAGTTAAGATCTGCTGCCAGTCCTCCTCTTTTTGCTGAAGAAGACTGGCCCTGAACTAACATCTGTGCCCATCTTCCTCTATTTTATGTGGGATGCCTGCCACAGCATGGCTTGACAAGTGGTATGTAGGTCCACACCCAGGATGTGAACCAGCGAACCTTGGGCCGCTGAAGCAGAATGCATGAACTTAACCGCTGTGCCACCGAGCCAGCCCTGAGGGATCCTCCCCTTTTAAGTGGCATATCTTTAGACTACAGTGCAAATCAAACCCTTTTCCGATTGTAGATGACAATAGTTCTAAAATAGGGGAGGAAGAGAGTTTGAAGACACTGTATTTCTAGGAAAAGTGGTACCAGGCAGAAGGGAGAAGGGCATACACAGGTTGAGGCCCAGTTCTGAGAAGTAGATGGTAGCCAGAAAGCCAGGTGAAACAGCCTTGGTCCATAATGACATTCAAATTTCCTATTGTAGGGAAACCAGTAAACGACTGTCCTCTTGGGTTGGTAAGTTTGCCTTTTCTGTACAAAATGAAAATTGCCTTTATTGCCTCTTGTTGTCCAAAAAGTCCTTTTCTCATCTCTTCCTCTTACTTTGCCCCTTGGTTGCTGCCCAGGGCCAGTCAGAATTGTCTACTTGAGACCGTCGTTTTCCCCTTGGCTAGATTTCTGAGCCTATCTCTAACAGAATGGTCTAGCCGTACCTGCAAAGCTGGTGTTAAAAGTGACCTTTGGCAATTTACAGATGAGTTTAAGGGGAGTTGTGCTCACTGTGCCCTCATGAACTGTGAGCAACTCTGGAAGAGGGGGAGCCACAGGAATCTGGTTCTTTCCGCAGGTCCTTCCTGAGAGGACAGCAGCAGGAGCCATGCTGAGGAAACGAAAACGCGGGCAAGTGCCCAGCTCCCCTGGCAGGCCAGGACTGGACAGGTCAGTGGTGTTGGGAGAGAGCCTAAATCCTGCATCCCAGTTGGCTTTGCCAGCTCTTGCTGCTGGTTGATCTCGTCCTTGGGCAAGTCATTTTCTCTCTCGGGGCTTTATTGGTACCTGCCTCGTCCAGTGGGTGGACTAAGGGAAGGAAGCAAGTTGGTATTTGCCATGTAACCTGAACACAGTCCCCTCCTCAGCAAGGCAGGATTCTTCTGCTCATCAAGGTGAAGGCTGAGAGGCAATGTGATCAGATCTATACAATTGAATCCAACCCTTATTCAGTGAGTACTTACTGTGGTCGTACTACCAGAAAACACAGTCAGAAGGCACAAGACTCAAGTCCCAGAATATTATACAAGAATCTAGAGAAACCCTCAAGAGCTTGAGAACAAATAAAACAGAATTCTATTTTACCTAGTGTGCAGTAAGCTTTTGGAACTCTACCTTAAGGGGTAGTCCAGGCTAAAATGTAAATGTCTGCGAGAGTGTATGTATCAATTATTGAGTGAGCTGCTGCAATATTAGGGGAGTGTTGAGCACATCCCTAACATTTTGAAGTTGCTATTGTGGAGGCTACTTATTTTCTTCTTTTGATTCTCTGTCAGAGACAGAATGAGTCAGTAAGACAACTCAGTGATTCTCGTTAGCACCCAGAGAGGGCTGCTGGAATAATCCAGGGTGTGGTTTGCTCCCAGCCCAACGTGCTTTCAGCCCAGGTTCACAGACAGCAGCTGCTCTTTTCCTGGGACTGTGTGGGTCCTGAGACATCCAGGAGCGGCGAGGGTAGACCACGGGGGAGCTGACCCCTGCACTTTCTGATTGCACGTGTCAGGGAAGAGGCAGGAAACGCCTTTCCTAACCAGGTGGAATGTGAGGGTACTTGGAGCTGTGAAGCTTGGCTTGGTTCCATTTGACTGAATTTTCCATGGAGACGAGGCCTCACATCTTTCCTTCCTCTGGGTCGTGATACGTAGTGAAGAATTTCAAAATCTGATACCTGCTGTAAGTCGCATTCTCCCTTTCTCAGCCCCTAGATTCCTAAATGTCTCAAATTGGGATTCTACCGTGAACTAAAGCAGCACCCAAAGAGAATTTGGCTACAGACTTATTCTGCATGCCAGGAGTGGTATAAAAATAGCCAACCTGCTGAAATATTCATTTGGGCCATGTTTGCTTGAATGTGGTGATGTTGCTGCTGCCAGTAACATTTCCTGGGATTTTTTTCCTCCTACCACAGGGCCAAGATGGGGACTTCCAGCCAAGACTCCAGCAAAAAGAAGCCCCCTATGGAAACCAGAAGGGTAAGCACCAAAATAGAGGCTTCGAGGCTCTTGGCTGTTCCTGCTCTGTTACAAGTCAGGATTCCTGTTACCAGCACATCTTGGTCCTAAGTACAGACTGAATTGACTGAACTCATTCTCAGGTTTCACTGTCTGCAGAACAGCATTCACCCATTCCACCTTTGCCACAACTGTCCCCAAAGTGCCTGTGTAATACACACATCAATGAATTCTCTTGTTAAAAGGTCTTCTCTTCTCAGCTTAAAAAGTTACTTCTTTTTTTTTTTTTTTGAGCTAACAGCTGCTGCCAATCCTCCTCTTTTTGCTGAGGAAGACTGGCCCTGAGCTCACATCCGTGCCCATCTTCCTCTACTTTATATGTGGGACGCCTGCCACAGCATGGCTTGCCAAGCGGTGCCACGTCCGCACCCAGGATCCGAACCAGCGAACCCCGGGCCGCCGAAGGCGAACGTGTGAACTTAACCACTGCGCCACTGGGCCGGCCCTAGAATTTTCTCTTTAGAAACCGTTTTGCTTTCATGTGCTCTGGGGTCTGAGTCTGGGAACATCTGGTTTTTACAGACGAGCTAGGCCTGTATCAGTACAGGACGCTGGTGAGAGAAAACTTCATTTAGAGCAGCGATGGGCTGGCCCCAATAGTGTTTGATTTCATCTGTGAAGTCTCTTCTCCATATAGATATTCATATATCTGCTACTCATCCATTTCGAGGCTTCTTTTCCACAGTAGTGTCTAAAATAGTGCCCTTTTTCCCCTCCCCTCTTGAAATAGCTGTTATCTGTGCCTTTTTCCTACTTCTCTTCTATTTCTCCAAAGTAGCTCTGACCTTAAGTATTCAGATGCTCACAACTCACCTCCCTCACCTTCCCAGGACCCATAACATGAACAGGTATCAAGCCAACATTTACGTCTGCGTTCATTCAACGAACTTTCATTGAGTGTCTACCATGTGCCAAGTGCTGGCGATATCATGCTGTCCTCTGAAAACGCCAACAGTGTAAAGCTAGGCAGTGTAAAATTGCTGATGGATGTGCTGTGTGCAGAATAAAGGAAGCGCAGGGTACAAAGGAGAACCTTGCCCAGATCAGGTGGATGTGAGGGAGGGTTCCCAGGGTAGCTCAGAGAACTCAAGCCAGGAGGAAAGAGGGCAGTGCTTTTGGTGACTGCAAAGTGCCAGTGCTCCGGGAGCTTAGAGCACAGGGCTGGGAAGTGTTACTGGAGAGGTCAGCACAGGCTGGATCACGAAAGGCCTTAAGGCAACGTCCAAGATGACAGGAATTCCCTCAAACATTTTTAAGTAGACAAGTGAAGTGATTTTCATTTCTAAATGATTATTCTGTCTCCTGGTCACAGGCATTGTGTTAGGTGCTGGGGGCACCCAAACGTGTAAAGCCTGGTTTCTTTCCAGGAGCTTACTGTTTCTCTGGGAGGAGAGTGAATCCTCAGGGACTCACACCTCTGCCTCTGTGGGCAAGGGCAGGGTCTAGGGCCCTGTTGTGCCATTGCCAGCTGGCCCACAGAGTGATTTTAGGCAGTTGGTTGCCCTCTTCTATACTCCCATCCTTCAGAGAGGCAAGAAGAAGAAATGAGAAAGTACAAGAGGAGTGCGTGGAGCTCTGGAGAACAAAGACGCTTTATACAACCGAGATAATTACTATTAAAGGAACATTTCCCTCACTCTCTACCCTTCGTACCTTCCTATTCTTAGTCTGACACATCATCTCCCTTAAGAACAGTACCCACAGTTTCTTACTCAACATAATTACCTTTCCAACCTGATACTGGGTTTAGAAAAAACTCTGAGCAAAAAAAAACTAAAAAGAACATGTTTATTGATTTTGACTCAAAGCCCAAAGACGGTCTCCATTGTAGACCCTGTTCCCGGAGAGAGGATTTCTCCTAAATTGAAATGATCACAGTGACTCTCAGTATAGCTCACTTGAGCTGGAAGAATTGAATTTGCTCCTATGGTCCAATGCTTAATATTTCCTCTCCCCTTTGGGGAAGGTTAGGGTGCAGGATCACAGTAAGTGTGGATTGTGCACGTCTGAACACATTGGGAGCCTGTGCGGGGAAAGCTCAGAAGAGTACAGCACGTATCTGAATAAGGTCTCTGTTTCATAAGAGGTGTTTGGAGAGAATGAGAAGGAAGGGCAGACCCATTCCTTTTGTTACTTCAGGTCCCAGACCTAGAGATCCAGACTTTGGAAGATAAAAAATGGGAGAGAACAGACGAATGGTCCAGAAGTGAAACAGACTGCCATGCGCATAGCTTTTTTTTGCCGCCTCTGCTTGAACTGCACTTCTATGCAGATCCGGCCCTGAACGTACAGAGGACAACCTTGCATCAGGTTTTCAGGGTATTATGTCCCCTAGATGGACATCAGTCTTATTTCAGGCTGTAATGTTTTTCCTGACCTCTGACATTTGCCTGAGAAGACCTCTCTCAAGATTTCAAGAGAGCACAAAGCTAGACTGTCTTGTGAGTGGAGTCTCCGTGGTTCAGAGGTAGGCTTTACTTCTGCCCTAGGGTCTTTGCCCTTCTGGTCCCCACTACCGACCCTAATAGATACATTCAATGCAGCAGGATTTAAGCCCCAAACCATAGTTTCATTAAAGTTGTAAGAATCATTCTCTCAAGCTAGAAATCAGAACTGGGCCCTCTAAATTCCATCTCCATCCTGTCCAGAAGAGGTGAGAGATGGTCTTCCTCCCCAGAGTTCCCTTTCACATTTACAGGAATATCACTTAGGTAGCTACCTAGATAGTCTGGCATTTGAGGGCTTGTGGAGAAGCTTATCTCAGAAATATCAGCTTATGCTTAGGATGGGGCTACGTCCTAACTTTCTTAGGGGCTTGCCATGCCTCTGCCTCCCAGACCCACCTTGACAGTCTGCAGCCCCTTGCTATGGAATTCTTCACCAGCAAAATGGCTCAAGGAACTCTCCAGCACTGCTGGGTAGTCAGGCCTTTGGGTTCTGCCTAGGGGAGAGCAGTGTCCACGTGGCAGAGATTTCCAAAGAAAATATATGAACCATGTTTCTGACTATCAGGTTGTCCACTGGCAATGTTGTGGGCTTGGAACCTGGTTGTAGGACGTCCCCTTCAAAGTACAAAGGAAATTCTATAAAGGGGCAGCACAGGGAGAAATAACAAGATTGCGTTGTGTGCTGGCTGCTTATGCCATAGTTATTTGTCCACTGCCCCAGCTCTAGCCATGCTGATCATATTGACTCATTAATGGCACTGTGCCTTTGTACATCAAGTCCCTGTCTGGAATGCCCTGCTCTCTGACCATCTCCTCGCCCCTGTTATGACGAAACCCCACTCATCCAGCAAGGCCGCCTTCAAATAGCACTTCGCCTTTGAAGTCTTCCTTGACTGACTGCCACCCACTCTATTTACGTCCTCCTCAGCAACCACTTGTGGGGTAGTCTTATCACACTGTCTTATAATACTTAGTTTACCACTAGGTTATACATTTCTCCGAGGTAAAGTTAAGGTTCTCCTGATTTCTGAAAGCTCAATATTCTGTCCTTACTAATAGTTGGCACTCAGTAACATGAAATGGTAAATTAAACCTAGCTTGTTTTGTTCTCAGCTCTTAAATCTTATGATTTTAGAGGAGGCAGTGATTAGGAAGCTGGAATGGAAAAAGGACAGTCCTGTAGAAGGAAATATAGACTCTGCCTGGGCGGTCAGAAGCCAGGCCCTAGCACTGATATGAAATCAGTTCACCAGGAAATAGCATTCAGACCACCAAGCCGTGTAGGAGTAAAGTTTAAAACTTTTCTTGGGAAATGGTGCACCTACAACACGAATGACAAACATTAATGTACAACTGAAATCACACAAGATTGTAACCTATCATTAACTCAATAAAAATAAATAAATAAATAAATAAAAATTTAAAAAAATTTTAAAAAAAAACTTTTCTTGGTCCTCTTTTTATCAGAACAGGGAAAGAAAAACCCAGCAGGAATGGCAGGAGACTCCAGCGTTTGATATCACCAATGTCCAGGACCAGGGTAGGTTCTGGGAAGTTCATATTTATTCTCCTTTAATGATTGTCCTGTCGCCTTTAGTTCTCTATGAGCAGAGAAGCACAGAGCTCTGAGTCTGCGCATGCTCAGCAGGTGAGGCGCCCTGCTCCCATGGAAGTGCCTGTTGGCCATCCTCTGGTCTGGGGGCCTGCCCTCGAGTAACAGAAGCCCCCTGGCCCCCAAGAGGAGTGAAGGGAGGCGATGCACGTCCTTCCTATGCTGCTGATAGTGAAACAGATGCTTCCACTGCTTCAGAACATTTTCCTGTGGGGTGATAAGTTTTACAGAAAAGTCGGGAGGGATGTGTTTCACTTTTCTGTCTTGCTGGAGAACGATCTCTGGGAAGCCGTCTTCCTTCTTCCCTTCTGGGCGTTAGTGTTAGTATTGAAGGCGCAGTCAATGCTCGGCAGGGCTGGAAATGCGTGTCGAGGTTGCCCTTCCAACGTGCTGATCTTTCACCCAGCGTGAGGGTACAGCGTGGACTGCAGTTGTCGCAGATGCAGGGCTGTGAGCATGTGCGTTCTTCAGCAAGCTGTCATTCCATGTGAAGACACACCAGCCGTGGTGGGCGGCTGGGACTTGAGCAGTATAAAAATCTCAGGGGCCTCACTTTGAAAATACTCCAAGGACAGAATAGCATCTTACTGAGCCGAGATGAAATTGGGAAGGTCAGAACAAACAGATCACCTGGCTTCAAACAAATCCTGGGGTGAGGCTGCCCTTGGCTCAGGCCAGGGGTCCTGCCTCCTGCTCACATGAAAGTAGCCCACGGACTAACACCTCTTCCCTGCCTGAGTGTTCTCCTTGCAGATTCTAAGCGTGGAGATAGCGTAGCAGGGCAGATTGTCCCACCAGTGCCGCAGAACAATCCACCTCCACCTGAAGGACCCACAGAGCTGGGAACCAGTGGCTTCTTTGGGTTTCTAAGGTAGGACAGACTTCTCTCCTGCCAGCAAACTGAGACTCGGAGAGATCTAGCTCCAGAGTGTGCCTCGCTGAGTCTCTCAGGGACTCTAGAATAGAGAATAAAGCAGAACACTGCATAATCTCTCTTTGTCCAGGACAGATGATGGGGATGAGATTGCGCACAAGGGCCCCACTGTGAGTTTAGTGAAGACTGTGTCTTGTTCGTTTTCGCAGCGCCCAGCCCACCCCGAGGTTCCCAGCGTCGGGCCTGGCTCCATAAGTGCTGCTCAGACAGAGGCTTGTCTTATTGTACTTGGGTCATTCAGATGATTTGTTACCAAAATGCTTCCATTCTCCCCTCTGAATCTAGGCTGTCTTCAGAGTGCTTTTGGCAGAGGACAGTCAACAAATCTCTTTATCTGTCTAGAGCTCAGCCGTCCCGTTGCAATTCTCCTTCTCCATTCCTCCTCTTGAGTGTGATCTAATTTGGGTACCTTCTCCAGCACTGTTCCAGACTTGAGTTTCCACTCAGTGGTTCCCCAGAGCCAAAGTGCCCTAGCTAATGGAGCCTTAATGGGACTGGGAGAGGGGAAGGGACGTCTAGAGTCTCAGCCTGCTCTGCTCTCCTTCCTGCAGCTCGCTCTTCCCGTTTCGGTACTTCTTCAGGAAGAGCAGCCAGTGAGCCTTCCATATGCAGCCGTGGGAGGAGTGCGTCTCGCAGGGGCTCCTCTCACTCCCTCCTCTGCTTCTGACATTCCAGTCCTGGGGAATGAGGGCCCCACATTCCCTGAGTCTTCTTCCGGGTTTGTCCTGTCCTTTTCCCCTTTACAGTGGAATGTTTTTTTCAACTTAAAACACTAAGAAAAGAACGGAACTTTCTAAAATGCTCTAGTCTGAGAATTGTACTGCTCTGAGGGCCAGTTTAGGCCTTTTGTCTTCAGCACTTAGGATCCTAAAGACAATAAATTATTTATGAAGAGTTATTGACTGAGTTTAGTGGAGTACAGAGAGTGAGGGAGAGCAAACTCTTCCTCAAGACCAGGGCAGCAACGCCCGAAACCTCCCCTGGGTCTACCTGGTCGTTGTTGACAGGATGCTTTGGAGGGTGGCGTCTGTACCTGACCTCAAACCCTAAACTCCTCTGCCAGGGGTTAGGGAATGGGGTCTTGTAGGACTTACTGTCCTGAGCCCTGCTGATCCTCAGGGAATCTCTCCCCAGCCCACCCAGTTTGGCCCCCAAGTGCAGCCTCTCAGTAGATAAATGCTTCCCACCCACCCCTCTGACTTTTGACAGCAGTGCAGATTAGCTTATCAGACTCACTGGCAGTCTGTCCAGGGTAAGGTCCCTGGAGACCAGGGCACCTGAGCGCCGTCTTCATGCAACCGGAGGGCTGACCTGGGACAGACGGATTAGACGGGCTGTGCAGCCACAGAGGACCACACTCACAGACGGGAGTTAGGGAAACTCATTTTAGCTCAGAACAAAGAAATCACTTTTTAACTGTTAGAGATGTCCAGTATTAGAATGGGCCACCTTGTGAGGTTATGAGCCCTTGTCACCCTAGTCTTTAAACAAAGCTGATTATCTGTCAGATACTGGAAGGTTCCTGTGATGAGTGGAAGAGCTGGGACGGGACTGCTGAGGTCCTTGGAATCCCCTTATTTCACTGCCTTTACCTTGGGTGGGGAGAAGAGAAGAGGTGCGCTGCTGCCGTGGAAGGGCCCAGGACCTGAGGGGAGGGGGGCCCAAGGGGACGCTGTCACATGTGAGGACTGGGACAAGTTGCATGTACAGCCTTTGCCCTCCTGTCCCAAACATGGCCTGTTTACAAAGCTGCTGAGAGGGAACTCCCCGATCTGGAGATCTGAGTCCATTCTGACTCTGACTAGTTTACAGTGAAGCCTTGGCAAAGTCGCTTTTGTCTCTGCTTCCTATTTTCTCATCTAGAAAATGAAGGGGTAGGATTCGATGAGCTCCCAACTGCCTTCCAGATCTGGCAGTCTGTGTGGCTGGCTCTGCCTTTCTGAGCGGGTCAGCAAGGCAGTGGCCCTGCGGGGTGGGGGCCAAATTACCACAGACTTCCTTCGTATCTCCACCCTGCCCCAGCCCCTGCGGCTACTGCTGACTAGGGGTCTTTTTCCAGCTGGCCATGTTCTTGCCCCAAGTGTAATTTAGCACCATGTACGGAGAGCAGGAGATTTGGGTTCCAAATCAGCCCTGACATTAACTAGCTGTGTGACGTTTAGTAACTTTCCTTCTCTCAGCCTTAGTTGCCTCACCTGTAAAAAGCCAGAGCCACAGCTAAACTAAACAATGCTCTTTGCTGGGGTTGACAGCTTCAGGCTCTTCCAGGAATCAGGTCCCTGTTATTCCAGGGACTAGGGGGAGCCCCACTCTGTAGCTGACCCCAGGATGAGAAGTCATCCACTTGACAGTGAAAGTGAAGCTTGAAGTGGACTTAGGACCCCCATCACCCCCTGGCTCTGCCACCAAGCGCATCTCCGGAAACTGCCCTGGTGTCATTTCCCTCGTCCATAAGAATCTCCTCCCCGACCCGTTTCCTCTGCAGTGGATAAAAGAGACAGGCAGAGTTGACTTTAGTAGTTTTAAGGGTGGGGTGGCAAGGCCCTGGACAGGGGAGTGGCCTGCCCGAGGTCACGCAGCAAAGAAGAGAACCCATGTGGCCACCACTCAGCCCAGTCTCCAGCCCTCTCTCCCCAACTGCAGTCTAGCCGCTCACCCCACCAGCTCCTGGACTTTTCTCCACACCTCACTTCCCCTAGCCCTGGCCCTTGGGCAGCTTTTGGACACAAGGGAAGCAGAAAGCAGCAGAGGCGGCTCTCTGAGGACCACACCTCAGAGAAGAGCTAGATCTCCCAGGTGGGACTGCTCGAGGCCTCTGCAGGGAGGCAGGCCTGAAAGCCGATCTCCAAGAGGGCGTGGCTCCAGGATGCTGGCAAATAAAAATCCGGAGAGCCCGCACCGTCTGGAGACCAGCAGTAGGCGCGAGGACCCACTCAGCAAGCCATCACTCGGTTCCTGGGCCTTGGAAGTGGTAAGGCCCCTGAGGCAAGGGGAGCCCTGGGAGGGCCTCGGCACTGTGGATAAGGGTCCTGCAGGCCAAGAAGGGGCAGCTGGAGGGAGACGGAGGTTAGTGCTCCAGATGGTGGGAGAAATTCCGGGGGAGAATCAGTGCAGTGGGCTGACACACAAGTCACATCCAGAGACAGCTGCTCACACTCAGACCCATCCAGAGAGACACTCACAGGCAGACACACACACACACCCAAAGGCAGACACAGGGAAAAGACAGCTCCACTCACAGAACTCAGAAAGACCAACCTAGCCAGGCTCATTCACCTGGAGGCATTCGGTGTTTAAAGAACTCGCCCTCCCACCTGCACACCCATCTAGAGACGTCTGTCTGCCCGCTGTGTTTCAGATGCCCATGGCGTCCCCCCAAACCCTGCTCCTCTGGCTGCTGGTCCTGGCAGTCACTGAAGGCCAGGGTCGGCAGGTGGCCATCCCAGGCTGCCACTTGCACCGTGAGTAACCCTGGGAGCAGAGAGCTGGGTGGGTGCAGTTAGCTGATGGACTAGACCGAGGGGCAGGTAGCACCCTCCATGTGGTTCGGGCAACAGAGCTGGGCGAGCCTTCGCAGAGGCACTGTCTACCACTCGCCTGTCTCCTTCTAGCCTTCAACGTGACGGTGCGAAGTGACCGCCAAGGCACCTGCCAGGGCTCCCATGTGGCACAGGCTTGTGTGGGCCACTGCGAGTCCAGTGCGTTTCCTTCCCGCTACTCCGTGCTGGTGGCCAGTGGCTACCGACACAACATCACCTCCGTCTCCCAGTGCTGCACCATCAGCAGCCTGAGCAAGGTGAGGGGCCAGCCCAGTGGGGGTTCCTTGGGGTTTGGGGGAGACAGACACCTAAGATGGCCCAGAGAAGGGGGCTGGAACATGGACCCTGATCTCCCACAGGTGAAGGTGCAGCTGCAGTGTGGGGGGAACCGGAGGGAAGAGCTGGAGATCTTCACGGCCAGGGCCTGCCAGTGTGACATGTGTCGCCTCTCGCGCTACTAGCCCATCCTTTCCCTCCTCCATTCCCTTGGTCAGAGGGTTTGAGTTGGAGTATATCCTGTCTATCCCAAGCCTTACTGTGGACAACAGCTCCAACCTTCTTAAGATTCTGTGACTGTCACCTCCTGAGAAGAGGGGAGTTCCTGCCTCCGCCTGGCCTCCTAAGCAGCCTTTCATCATTTCCCTTCCCTCTCTGTCCCTAGCCCTAAATAAAGCAAGCAGTGCTCGAGTTTCTTTCTTTATTAAGTCTGCCCCCAGCCAGGGGAAGGGGGACAGACCACAGTAACTGTGACCCCCCCTTGCCCCGGGACATGGGGAATCTCTTCTGCCTGTGCCCTCACCCCTCCCCCTGCCCAATAAATAAAAAGGGAACAAGGAAGGACAGGGTGAGGGAGGGGAGGGAAGGAGGATGCCCCAGGCCCGGGACAGTGTCTGTGTTGGAGGTGAGTGGGAGAGAATAAATAGACCATGGATCCCATGGTGGGGTGAGGAAGGACCTCGCGCTGGCACGAGGCAGGGCAGGCAAGGGGCTGAGTCCCCTTGCCTTAGGCTGGGAGTAGGGGGCGGGAACCTGCCTACAGTCTGGAGCCCAGCTTGGCGGGGCAGGGGCAGACCCCCGACGGCAGCTTCCTGGTCAACCTTGCCCTGGTCAAGTCCTGCCACGAGGGCCTGAGAGTTCTGTTGCCAGGACCACCATCTCTTCTCCTCTCCCCCCAGTGAAAGCTGCCCATGCTGGGCCAGGCAGGGAGCCCTCCGAGCCCCTCTGGCAAGGCCAGGGGTAGGTGTGGGTCTCTCTGGGCCCCTGGGCAGGAGAGGGGCTGGAGGGACTGATAGCTCTGGGTGTAGCTCCTCCCCTGCTGGGGGATCTCTAGCTCTGACCCCCACTGGCGGCCACCTGAGGTGTAAGCCGCTGGAGGGGGGCTTCTTTGGCCCCCTGGGTCCCCTGTAACCGGCGTAGCCGAAGCTCCTCCAGGCCTTGCCACAGCTCCTGACGCTCACGGGCCTTCTGCTGCTCCCTGGGGAGAGAGGGTGAGGCAGCTCCCCTACCCGGGACCCCACCTGCAGTGCTGCCTCCCTCTGCACCACCCCACCTGCAAAGGGACTCTGCGGGAGCCTTCCTCTTGGAGGAGAGCACTGAGCAGAGGCTGGCCCCAGCCTGCGGTCATGGAGCAGATGCGTTAGCCTGCCTCTCTGGCTGAAGGCTAGGAAGCTCCATCCTGGAAGAAGCCCTTGGGAGGAGGATTGGGGCTGCGTGGGGAGTCGGGCACGGACGGCCCAGCACTTGGCAGGAACACAGGGAGAGGCCTTAAACGTCTGACCACGTGGGTGTAGGGTCATCCTCTTGGTTCCCTCCAGCCATGAGGAGCTGGTTCCTTCCTGCTTCTCTCCCCTCTCCCTCTGTGCCCAGCCCCTCAACACTCACTGCTGCTTCTCCAGCTTGTAGGAGGCTGTGAGCTCATCAAACAGCTTCCCGTTCATCTCCATGAAGGTCTTGAGCACATTGTAGATCAGAGATACGATGGTCCTTGGCAGGGTCAGGGGAGCGGGTGAGGAGACGAGAGCAACTTCAGTTTGACCTCCCTCTCCAGCACTCTGTCCATCCCCGCTCCCAAACACAGCACGCGGCCCTGGACACCACCAGCACTGCCCTCTTCCTGCCCCCTTCACTGCCCCTTGGCCATCTTCACATGCCTTCCCTGATCCTCTGGGCAACCCCAGGCCTGGACGGGCGGCCCTGGACCCGGCTTCCGTGGGTTAGGCCAAGGCCTGGGCACTCACTGATTCCAGTGCTCCTTGGAGACCTGATAGAGGGTCCCAAACACAGCAGGCAGCACAGTGTGGCAGTTGTCCTCAATGAGGCTCAGGATGTACTCATTGTTCCAGAAATACAGAGCCCGCTCTGCAACCTGGGACAGCAGGATGGCAGAGAGCGCCTGGCAGTGGCTTCCCTGCTGTGCAAGGCCTGGTGTCCACGCCCACCCCAAAACCCAGGGCGCCCTGCCCCCACACACCCATCCTCAGGGCTCATCTGACCCCACGGAGGAAGCAGTGGAGCGAGGAGAAAAGAGCACTGGCTTTAGGGTCCAATGCTCAGGGTTGAATCCTAGCTCCGCGACACACTGGCCATATGACCCTGGGCGAGGCATTTAACCTTTCAGCCTCAGTTTCCTCATCTGCAAAATGAGGCTAATAGTAGCTGCCTCTCCAGGGCTGTTGTAAGAATAAACGAGATGTTTAATAAACTCAAGTAGCACAGTCGAGGTGAGGCAGAACTGACTTCCACTGGGTTATGGCTCACAAGAATGGGAGAAAGTCTGCGCCCACATGCAGGAAAACAGCAATTACAAGCCAGTCTGAGGATGTGGGGAAGCCTGGCTGGGCCCTGAAGGGCACTAATGAAACTGAAGGCCACTAGGAAAAGGGGAGAAGTGAGAACAACCCATTCTGAAGCACATTTCAGTTTTCCAAATATGTTTACACTCCAATCTCTTCAGCCTTCATCACCACCTGTGAAGAGCTCACTGTTGGCCCACTTCTCAGATGAGGAAACTTAAGCAGACTCAGAGTGACGCAGTGATTTGCCCAAGGCGCCTCAGCCAGTGGGAGGCAGCTCTGAGGCTTGACCTCGGTCTCCTGACCCTAAGTCCATCATGACCCCATTGTCAGACCCAGGAGGGTCTGGAGGAGAAACTGAGGGCAGAGGGAGCTATGTTAGGTCAACTGCCCGACCCTCCTAGTCCATACCCCAGCTCCCACCCTCATCCGTCCCCGCCCCATACCTGGAAATGGGGGCTAGACACACAGCGAGCCACCTGCTTGAAGAGGGGCTCCTGGATCTTCACAAACTGGGAGGGCTCAATGACATCAAGAATCTCTTCCATCTCCCCCAGAAACATCACCTGGCGGGTAGGACACAGCGGGCAGCAGTTCCCATCCGCCCTGACACAGCTGCCTGCCTCCAGAAGCTGAGCCCTGCCACCCTCCCTCTGGTGGACGTCAAAGCCCTTCTTCATACCTCCTTCTGGGTGCAGGTTTTTGGCCAGTATTTGAGCAGCCCCCGGATCACCTGTGGGAGTTGAGGCAGGAAGGAGTCAGACCTGCAGGGCTGGGGGCCTGCCCTCCCCCCAGAGGTACTCACGTGCTCTGTCAAGGTGGCGTCCTTCTCCAGGAACTGCACCACACAGTACGCCAGCTGCAGGGGGCGAGAAAGAGGACTGGGGTCAGGAAGGGACCAGGGCATGCTGCCAGATGTTTGCTTACTTACTGCATCTACTCTCTCACTCACTAAACATTTACTGATCACCTAGGGTGCACCAGGCACCATGCTCAGTGTGCAGGGACACGATGATGACCTCACATGGGAAGCATGCAGCAAACTAGGCCTTATAAGTGTTATGAAAGGTTCCATAATCAAAATCTGTATCACAATCTAAGGGAATATGGAAGCAGGAGAGTTTAGTCCTGCCCAGGGCAGGTCAAGAGGGAAGGGGCTGCGGAGGCATCACAGAGCTGATGTCTGAGATCAGCTTTAAAGGGTCATAGGAATTCTCTAAGGAAGACAGAACAGAATTAGTAAAGAAAAAGAAGGTGAGAGAGGATCCCATGAGTTCGTGACTTAGTGTGGCTGGACCCAGTGTCAGTCTGACCTGGCTGGCTGCCCTGACTCCACCTGCGCTTACCTGGGCGTGAAAGACAGACAGCGACTTGACAGAGTGCAGGGGAATCAGGACCCGAACCAGGAACTGCTTGTGCTCGGTCTTCAGGGGCAGCGCAAAGCCATTGATGATGCTGAGGAGGAGGCAGAAGAGAAGAGGAGGGCTCAGATGACTGGGCCTCAGTCCTTCCTCCCAGAACCCTGATGCTCCAGCTGAGGCCCAGGGAGAGTCACCTTCCTAAGATCTCCAGCAGCTCAGCCACGCCATTGAAGTGCTCGAGCTCATAGATGAACCTGCAAGAGGAAGAGAGGATGCAGAAGGGCTCAGAGCAATTGGAGCAGGCCCAGCCCCGCTGTCAGCCATCCTGCCTGCCCACCCCCACCCTGCATGCTAATCCAACTCTCTCCCAACCCAGAGGCTATGCTCTTCTCAGTACCCCAAACCAGGCCCCACTGAGACCCATGCCCACCTTCGAATTGTCCCTCTCAGCCCAGCCACTGGCGCTACCCCACGTCCCGGCTCAAACCTCTATTCTGAGAAGCATTCCAACTCATCTCTTCCTCCCCCAGACCCTAACCCTCATTACCTGGTCCCCACCCAGTTAGCAGGCACCTAGCCTGCATCCTTCACTCTTCATGCCAGTCAACCAAAAGAATGACAAACGCTTAGAGCATCTACTCTGTGCTATGTACATCTCAAAATTATCTCAAGAGGTAGGGCTTATTAGATCCATCATACAGATGAGGAAATCGAGGCTCAGTAGTTCAGTGAAACTTGCCACTAAGTTAACAAGTGGGGGATCGAATGAACTCCAGCCTCCTGGAGGACAGGGATCACGTCTTGCCTGTTTTGTAGGTAATAATGATAAGAGCTAACATTTCAGAGTCCCAGCCTACGTCCACAACTATACTGAGTGCTTTCGAGGCATCGCCTCGTTTCATCTCCATGACTGTCCCTAGGTTAGCATAGCTATCATTCCCATTTTAGAGATGAGCTAGGAGACAGTTTAAAGAATTTGCCCAAGTTCAACCAAATATTCGAACCAAACTCAAACACAAGCCGTCTAACTCCAGAGCCAGTCTCAACTGCGAGGCCACGTGTGCCCCTGATGCCCACTGGGCACTGGTGCTCAACGCACATTTGCAGAAAGAATCTCTTTCTTTAGGTCCTTATGGCCCAGCAGGCACAATAAGGGTCAAAAGATTTAGATTCTAGGCCGCCCGGACTGACCTAGGCCCTGCAAACCACTTCATCTCTCTCAGCCTCTATTTCCTCATCTGTAAAATGGAAATAAATACCCTTTCTCTGCTGACCTCCCAGGCTTCATAGAATCACTATTATGTAATATGTTGCTGAGAGAGAACTCAGTAAACCAGAGTTCCACAGGGCCCCCAGCCCAGGAGCCTTTGCCTCAGCCCTCTCCCCACGGCTCTCCCCCTCCCTCCACAGGTCTCAACTGGGCAGGCAGCAGGCACCCACCGGAGGAAGATGTGGCTGCACTGTTTGCGGATGTACGCCCGGAGCCCCAGGAACTTGCCATAGACCCGGTGCAGGATGGTCTTGAGGTACTCACGCTCCCGGGGGTCCTCGCTATCAAATAGCTCCAGGAGCTGTGGGACCCGGGGTCGGGGGTCAGGCAAGAGGACGAGCCCGCGTTGCTTCTGTCCTATCCCCATGCCCCTCAGAGAGCCTGCCCCTGCCCCATGGCACCACCCAGCCTGGGCTCCCCACTTCACCATCAGGACAAACTTTTGATCCACGTATCTCTTGGCCACGGAGGGCTGGAAGTCTGGGCTCTCCAAGAAACGCAGGAAAAACTCATATACCAGCTGGGGGAGGGGACAGACGAAAAGGTGAGTTCAGGAACAGCCTCCCCCACTCCCCCTGCCCGCATGGCCCTCATCCAACATTCCAGGACCTAAGGAAACCCTTGGACCTCTTCTGAAACTCAGATCCTACCTTCCCCGCCCTCATACCTGCAGATGTGGCCACGAAGGCTCAAGGTTGGGCTCGTCCTCTTCAGGGTCAAATTCAGGGTTCTCACTGGGCGGCAGGGTCCGGAAGATATTCACTGAGATCTGAGGGGCAGAGCCAGCGTTCTTTGAGGAAGAGCCCCTGAAGGCAGAAGCCGGGGGTCCCTCACCTAACCGGCTCAGCTCCTGCCCCAGCAAGCAATTCATTCCTTGCCAATCATTACCCGACGCCTAGTTCCTGGAAGCCCTGGGCCGGGGCTGGGGACCCAGGGGTGAACGAGACACATCCCTGCCCTCTATTGGGTGCAGGCCAGCAGGGTACACAAGACAGAAAGCAGTAAGGTCTACGGACAGCCTAGGCAGCAAAAGGGAGATTTCTAGCTTGGGCATTGAGAGAGGCTTCATGGAGGAGGCAGCACGTGGGCCAGGCCATGGCAATAAAGGATATGGGGGGAGTGCACGCCAGGCCTCGGGAGAGCATGAGCAAAGCGCGGGCTGGGACAGGCCCAGGAGGCACTGAGTGACCTATGCTGGCCCGTGCTGGGCAGCAGGGGGTCTGGCGGGGAGGGGGAAAGGAAGATGCGGGCCCTGAGGCCAAGCTGAAGAGTGGGGGTTTTATTCTCCACACAGGGGCCTGCGGGCAGGTCAGTAGGGTTCCTGTGCCCCCGAAGCCCTCCCCCGAGGCTGGGTGCCAAGTGCTCACCATGCGGATGATGTCTGGGTAGACAGGCTCAATGAGGACCCCCCGGGTGCTCCCCACACACTCCACCAGCTCGTTGAGTGCCGCCCGCTTCACCTCCTTCCCCTTCAGGTCAGCTACACAGTCCAAGAAGTCAAACATCACCCCACACTGGGCCAGCTTCCGGCTCAGCAGATCATGCAGCTCAGAGGCCGGCACATCTGGGGAGGAGGCGGGGGACTGAGCCTGGGTCCCAGCTGCCACAGCTCTGGGCAGGGGCGGTCCCTCCTAATCCCTGGAGCAGCCTCCCCTGCGCCCCCCTCCCCTACCCCATGCTCTGGTGCCATCCCCACTCCTTGCAGGGGGCAAAGAGCTCCTGCCCCATCCTCCATTCCTGCAGGGTAAGGGAGCTTCATCTCTGCTCCTAACCCAGGCTCAGAGAGCATCATGGCCTGACTTTAAAGGAAAGCAACAGACCCTGGATGCCTGGGCTCTCCACAGGTGCCCGGAACAGCCCTGCCTCCCTCTCTTAGGTGGCACTCCGTTCTAAGAGCCAGAAGTGGGGAGAAGGGTCAGGGCTGAAGATCTCTAGGGTGCCCTCTGGCTCAGCCAGTCAGGCCTTGTGGTCCAGAGGTGGGGGGACTACACAGTGATGGCAGGGAGCCATGCTGAACACCTGCTCCAGAAAGCAGGGCTGCTAGTAGCCTCCTGGAACCCAGGCTGTGGGCCCCACCCTTGGCCCTGGTCTGCCCCCCAGGGTGGCGCCACCTCCAGATGCCCCACCTCCAAGGATGACAGGCCAGTCAGGCCATGCGTCAGCAGAGAGGGCTAGAGAGCTGGGGTGTGGGGGTCAGCTCCGACGGTGGAGTCCCTCTCGTGGTAGGGGCCATCCAAACTGCCTCTGATCACAGCTGCCAGCTGCTTCTCCCTACCCCCTGCAGCCTCACTGGCCACTCTGGGACTCAGGTACCCTGACAGCCAGCAGCCAGGCTCACCTTTGAGCAGGGGCAGTGGAGTGAGCTCTTGCTGGTTGCTCTGATAGCGGAACTGAGAGGAGCTATGGGAGCGCCGGGGCCGGGCCCTGCGGAGGGAACGGCGGGAGAAGCCGTCCACCTTGTCGGGTGGGGGCACAGGCGACAGGCCCGGGGAAGAGGGGCTGGTGGGGGTGCTCGCAGGGGGCAGCTTTGTCTCCATGGCGGCCAGGCGGTGGGTCGAGCCTTTAGAGCCCCTGGGGTTCCCTCTGGGCCTGGAGGATGCTGAGTGAGGCTGGGCTGACTAACTTGGGCCCATCATGGGGGGAGAGGGGGGCACAACCACAGTCCTGGCCCCCCCCCCAGGGCCTTTGGCAACTGCCCAGGCCTGGGGGGCAGGCAGGGTAGAGGGGAGGATGCCTCAGGCCTCTGGTCCTTCCTGGGGTCCCGAAGAGTCCAGTTAGGGTTCCCACCTGGGCTCTTTTGAAAACGACGTCAGGGCAGAGAGGTCGGCAAGAAAGAGACAGAGAGAGCCTGTCAGTTCTTTCAGGAAAGACAGTGTGTGGGGCTGCAACTGAGTGCCCAAGTCTTCTTTTCCCTCCTACCTTTGCCTAGACCCTAAATCGCGGTGCAGCCCCCTCCAACAGGGGACATGTGCCTCCCTTCTCCCCCCCCCCACCGAAAGGTCCCAGGCTCCAAAACAACCCCTCTGGGAATAAGGCCTATCCCCCAAGCCAGACCCTACCTAGAAGGGGGCCCTGTCCCTCATCCCTGGCCCCCAGCAGAATGTGGCCCTATTCCTGCTCCACTAATCTGGCCCACCAGGGACTTCCCCCCCAAATGGGGGCCCTATCCCCATGCCACCCGCCTCCTAGAACCCAGTACCCTCCCCCACCTCAGCTCCTCCTTCCTCGCCCCCCCCCCCCCAATCTCATCCGCTCCCCGGTGCGGGGACACTCACTTCTCGGAAGCCCAGACTTTGGTCCCCGACCCCCAGGGGCTGCTGGTGGGGAGGGGGGCAGCTAGCTGTTCAGGGCTCCTTCGCAGCTGTTCCGCTCGGGGCGCTGGCACTGGGCGGCGGCGCTCCTGGGTTCTCTCTCGGGCTCCGGAGGAGCCGGAGCATGCCCCCAACTCAGGCCCCAGTCGAGCGCGGGCACCCGGCGGGCTCTGGGCTGGCGGGCAGAACGCGGACCTCTCCTCCAGTCGTGGGACCCGACCCAGCGCGGCGCGGCGCCGCGGGAGCCCCAGCTCTGTGCGCACCGGCACCCGCCGCCCAGCTGCTCAGGATGACATCAAGTCACCTCCCCCCGCCGGGCCCGCACCTCCCCGCGGGCTGGGGGGGGGGGCGGGGGCTGCGTCAGGAAGTTCCTGGGGCCGCTGGGAGATGTAGTCCTCCTCCGCACCACTTAAAGAGGGCCGCCAAACCAAAGGGGTAACCCCTGAGGGCGCCCGGGGACAAGGCTGAAGCAGAGTGGGATGGGGTCCAGGGGGGGCTGGGCTCCTGGGTTCTAGAAGGGAGACTGCATAGAGAGAGAGGCGGACTCAGGAGTCTGCACCAGGAAGCTGGGTGACGCCAGGACACTGGCATGAAAGAGGCCCAATCCTACGCCAGGTTCAAATATTTGGCCTGCACCATCTGTGCCCCAGGCATTCCAACCCCATGGGAAGCCCACCCTCAGCCCAGAATGGCTGGACACTTCCGAACCCCCTTGGAAACCCGCACTGGACTGGTTAATGGTCTGCGGTGAGCCAGTGCTTGCTGGGAGGGGTGTGGCACACCCAAGGCTGCTGGGAAATGTAGTCCGTCCTCAAGCCTGCAGTCCCCCTCCCATCCTTTGCTGTTATGGTGACATCATGGTCTGGGGTTTAAAGGGCCAGCCTTGGAGGGGGGAAGCATCAGGGCAGGAGGTGCTCCCTGACGTTGCCATCCCACCCCAGGCAAGCTGGCCTCCCTGGATGGACCTCCCAGCCCCTCTGGGCCTAAGATGTGCTAGTGGGATTTCTTGTTCAAAGCCCGCTGCAGGGATGGCGGGATTCCAGGAGTTTAGTATTCCAGCCAAAAGTTCCCGGCATGCAGGCCTGGACCCCTTCCTAGGGCCCTGCCCGCCAGCACCCTTTATTCCCCTGATCTCCAGCCCCTACGCCACACTGCAAAGTCTCCACTCTGAAGCATTGCCTGGATGAACAGCGGTCCCTGTGAGCAGCAGGAGTGGGCAAGGAGACCTGAAAATGAGGCCAGGGAGGGGGCTGGGGGCTGGGGCCCTCTTCAGAGTTTTCCCCACCTGCCTTGGGCCTTGGTGACCGCTCAGTGCCCCATGGAACCCTCTAGCCATCTTCCCTGCTGCAGATGGAGACTGGGTGCCCAAGAGGTGCCCGCTGCTGGAGCAACAGAAAGCCAAGGCGTCAGTCTAGCCAGGCCAGGATCCAGGACTGTACCGCTGCAGAGCTGGCCAGCGACCCCCTTGCTCAGAAATCTTCAGCAGGCCTTGTCCACCCGGCCCTTGGTGTCCTTGTCTGTCAACAGAAACCCATAGTCTCCTCCTTGCCTTCCTCCCAGCCTCAGGAGGTAAAGCCTCTCCTACATCCGGGCACAGCAAGCTGGGGAAGGGCAGGCCACTGAGACTTCTACAGCCAGGAGAGGACCCCAAGGCCCAGAGAGGGGAAGTGTTCTCTGGAGGAGAGAAGGTCACACAGCCCATCCTCAAAAGTTGAGACCAGGGGCCAGGCCCCCACCTCATGGCCTAAGTCAGGAGGGCACCAGCTCCTGCCCCCCACCGAGGCACTCTGGGGGCTGGTGCCCTAGACTCCGAGGGTCTCGAGACCAGGCTGACTGTGGAGGGTTGGTGCTTTGTACAAAGCGGGTGCTTGATTTGAGGATTGGGGGACCAAAGAACATAAGATTGGAGAACATAAGATTTCTTGGAGGAAATGGCGTTTGAACTGGGTCTCAAAATAGATATAATCTCATGGCAGGGCGGAGTGCAGAGTTGAAAATTCTTTTCTTTTTTTTCTCATCTTTATTGAGATATCATTCACATACTATAAAGTTCACCCATTTTGTTATTATTTAGTGGATAGAGAGCATCAGTTTCTCAAGATGCAAAAGTTCCAGAGACTGCGTGCACAACAATGTGAATATACTTAACGCCACTGAATTGTACACTTAGAAATGGTTCAGAGAGCAAAACTTGTGTTGTGTGTATTTTACCGCAATTTAAACAAAATGCAAAATCCAGGCCCACCACCATGGATCAAATCAAAAACCGCAGCCCCCCAGCTCCCCACCATGATCCCTTCCACACCCGTCTCTGATCCCACTGATGAAATTCCCAGAGGGGCTTCTTCTGGGTGGGCCCCACCCCCCAGGGCCCCTGAGACCTAGAGCCCGCAGTTTGCCTGAGGAGTTTCCACCTATCTAATGTGGGGAGGCCCCCAGGGAGCCCCACCAAGCCGGGCCCTCCCCCTTCTCTTTCTATGGGGAGAAACCCTGACTCCATCCCTCTCAGAGCCCTGAGTTCTCCACCACCCCATTGTCCAGTAAAAGCTCCCGAATGCAGTGCCCAGGGCCAGTGTATTTGTTAGGACTGCTGGACCTCAAGGGGGACCTGGGAGTTCATCCCAGAAACACCCCTATGAGGTCCCCAATGCCACCCTCCCTCCTAAGAGAAGATTGCCGCCTTTACCCTGCCGGGGTTTTATGCTCTCGTTCTGCTCCTAATCCAGGTGTGGGCCAGGCTGCAGGATGACTGTCTTTGGAGTTGGGTTTCTGTGGAGCTGGCTGTGCCTTGTCTGGCAGAGGCGGCGGGGAGGACGTTTGTGCCCCTCTGAGTTCTGTCTCCCCCTCTGCTCTGGTACAGACATGGCACTGTCCTGGCCACAGGGGGATCAGACTCAGGAGTGGACTCGCAGGCACCCACTAAGGGACAGACGTGGCTCCCAGTCAAGTTACAATGAGAGACACGTGAGTGCAGCCTCACTGGAGCAAAGTCCACCCAGGAAGAAGCTGCCCCAGATTGGGGGCCTGAATATTGGGAATGGCCTTGTGTCCCCAACCTTTGCACAGGGTGCATCCCATTCCCACTGCAGGCGAATAGTCTCCCCCTCCTAGACTGGACGCCAGGACAACTTTTCCTAGACTCCGGGATATGCCCATCTGTATTCTCACTGCTTTTGGGAGGAGAAACGATGCTTATTCATTCACTTGTTCCAGCCTCTGTCTTCCTCTCCCATAAAATGGGCGTATTAACAGTGCCTCCCTCATTGAGTGCCTCCCTCAGTGTAGTGAAGAGCAGATGAGGTAATGAATGTAAAGTGACAAGCCCAGGGCCGGGGACATCAGGTGGGCTCAATTCATGATGTCTATATTTTTTTTTTGAGGAAGATTAGCCCTGACCTAACATTTGCCGCCAATCCTCCTCTTTTAGCTGAGGAAGACTGGCCCTGAGCTAACATCTGTGCCCATCTTCCCCTACTTTATATGTGGGACACCTGCCACAGCATCGCTGGCCAAGCAGTGCGAAGGTCCACACCTGGGATCCGAACTGGCGAACTCTGGGCCACCGAAGCGGAACGTGTGAACTTAACCGCTGCGCAACCGGGCTGGCCCCTATTTTTTTTTTTTTTTTTAGTTTAATAAACATTCCATGAACACAACACCACCCCTGACCTGTCACGGGAGACAGGCAGATCTCTTGATTCGTTCCACAAGCATTTTCTGAGCAGCCATCATATTAGCATGCCTCCTTGAATGGGGCCTTCCCAATGTTTCCCAAATTCTCTTAGAGGCGGTTCCTTAGTCCCTTCCAGGTAATGATTTGTCTCACCTACTAACCTAACCCCAGGTTACAGAGGATAAAACAGGCTCACAGAGGAGTAGTGACTTGCCTGAGATCACACAGAGTTGAGACTGGGATCCAGCTCCCTGCCCCTCGGGCCAGGGCGTTGCCTTTACCTGGGGCTGACTTTGGCATTAGATTGCAGTAGAATCCATCTCCCAGGTAAGGCTAAAATAGATTATAATTACTTGTGAGCGTCTCTTAAATCACTCACGATGTAAGAGGGTTTGTGTGACCAACCCTGCAGAGCAGGGCTCGGCAAACTTTTTCCGTAAAGTGCCAGAAAATAAATATTTAAGGCTTCGCAGGCCTCAGTCTCAAGTATTCAACTCTACTGCTGTAGCAAGAACACAGCCCTAGACGGTCCTTAATTGAATGAGCATGGCTGTGTTCCACCAAAACGTTGTGGCTGGACACTGACTTGTGAATTTCATATGATTTTCACGTGTTGTGAAATCTTGTTCCTCCGATTTTTTCCAACTGTTTAAAAATGTGAAAGCCGTGCTTAGCTCACTGGCTGTACAAAAACAACAGCCTCCCTGCTCAAGGGTTTTAGAATCCAGGATTAGAAATACGAAAAACTATTATTATTTATTATTCCAGAGAGAGGCTGGAGGCCCAACTGCAGAGAGAGGGGAGGGTCAGTAAATCTGCTGAATATTCCAGGTGAGGAGTGGAAAAAAAGACCTCCTTGCTGATGGACTCACGGTAACCCTAATAAACCTGTTATCTGTAAAATGGTGACAGTAATCTCTACCTTAGAGGATTGTTATGAGGTCTGAATGAGATAAAGGATGATAAAGCGTTTCGTAAAATGCAAATGTTCATTCACTTAATTGTTTCTACAGCTGCGTGCTGCGGCTCTCACACTGACTTCATTCCTCTGGGAAGCTTTTTACGAAGTTTGACGGGACACTGTCCCTTTAAATCCTCCCCAACTACCTCAAGCCGTCGGACGAGTCGGCACATGCGCAGTCCTTTGCGGAGCTGGCACCTCCAGCAACAGCCTTCCCGGAGCCTGTACAGGAGAGGTTAAAGGCCGCCCCGCCCCAGAATTTATACGCAAGCGTAGATCAAAGCTGGGAGCTCTATGTCTTGCAGAGAGCCCGGTCCCTTTTTCGCGCCCGAAGGCTCCGCCCCCCGCGGCCAATCAGTAGGCCTCGCCCTTTGCAATGGCCAATGGCAGTGAGCGTGGGGGGCGTGGCTGAGCCTCCGGGGGTGCGGCCTGGCGCTGAGAGAAGCGGCGGGGTGAGCCGGGGGCTCTAGTGAACAGCGCTGCCGGAAGGGGATCGCCGGCGGGCGGCGAGCGGAGGCGGCGCGGGCCCGGCGGTCTCCGAGATGTCACGATGGCTGTGGCCATGGTCGAACTGTGTGAAAGAGCGGGTCTGCCGCTACTTGCTGCACCACTACTTGGGTCACTTCTTCCAGGAGCACCTCAGCCTGGACCAGCTCAGCCTCGATCTGTACAAGGGCAGCGT